TACTGTACACGGTGTTTGTGTCACCACTACTGTACACGGTGTTTGTGTCATCATCACTGTACAGTATGTTGCTTTTCCCTTCATGACAGATAACACATATCGATTCTGTAGTTAGTCCTTTCTCATCTTTCCTTTTATCTCTGGTACCCATCAAAGAATGTTTCTTTCTGTGGGTAAACTCTTTGTGACTTACTATAATAGTGCTTTCAAACAATAACTATCCTCTTTTGATAGATTTATTTTACTCAGCATACTATTCTCCACATTTGTTAACATTATGAAGCGCTGTAGACATTCATTGATGTTGTATTGCATTCCATTGCCTGTACAATGTTTGTTTATTCCAGTTTAATTTTCTCCCAAAGTGGGCAACACTGCTCCCGGGAGTGCTGAAAAAAACAGATACCTACACTTTATCCTGGATTGTGGGTTCTATCTAGTAAACTTTTTTTTTTTTTTTAATTTTCAGGAGGGTGCTGAGTATTATTTTTCTGAAAAGGCTGAAATAGGACAAATAAGTTTGAGAACCCATGATTTATTCATTTATGAGTATTTTTTGAGTGCTTAGGTCATTTACATCTTTTTGGTTTTGTGAATAATGTTGAAACAAATGTGTGTGCCTATATCTATTTGTGTCATGGTCTTATTTTTCTAAGATATCGACCTAGTAATAGCTGGATTATATAGGATTTCTGTTTCCAACTTTTAAAGGAAGCACCATACAATTTTCCACAATCGTTTTACCACTGTACAGTTTCACCAGAAGCATCTGACAATTCCAATCTCTCCACACCCTTATCAAGATGAGTTATTTTCTGTCTTTGGCACCTTCCTATTATTACTGAGGTGAGAATATATAACAGGTTTTTAATCAGTTATTTCTTCTTAAAACAGTGCATATCGAATCTGTATATTTAAAAAGCTGCAAATACGGCTTTATTTAAGTTGTATCTTAAGAAGCAACATTTAATTCTTCTATAAATAACCTAACTAACCTAAAAAATAGAAGGAGTTGGGGGTTAATGCTAGCACTTTTACTAAAATAGCCTGAGTTTCAGGGGGGGAAAAAGTGGGTGGGGGGGAATCAAAGTTCTTGGTTCTATTCCAGAACATGACAGATTCTGGTTTGTGGTACTGAGAAATTTACATTTTAACAATAAAAATTACACTTAAAATTCACAATAAAGATAAAGTTATTTGTGGATTTCAATAGAGGTTTATCTCAATTTTTGTGGGTGCTAGTTAACAGACACATAACTATCTAATTGCTTACAGGGCCAGACTTTTTTCTTCTCTCATAAATTCTAGTACAGGCATCCTGGCACATTAAGATTTTGTTATAGAACTTTCTCACTGAAAAATCACACAGAATGGTTTTAGTCAGGGTATAAGGGAGTCATGTTGATAATGACAAGGTAGATTTTTCAGAAAATAGGAGAACTCGGGTTTTTGAGGATATGAGGGAGACTTTTTACTGTGTGTTATAGAAAAAAAGAGATTTGTAATCATAAAAAATAATTTAAAGGAAAAGCAAAAACAATCACGGTCATATCGCTGTTAATACACCTTGATACTATTTATACATACCCCCCCCCACACACACACACACCCCAGAGCAGGAACACTCGAAACTAAAACTCTTAGGGAACTGGTGAACAAAGTCAGATAGCCTATATGAACATTCTGACCATCGTTTCTCTCTTCTTTATTGCCGCCTTACGTATTTAGTTGCTCAACTCTCCTGACTTTCACAATCTCCAAAGAAACAGAGTTTTATTAGCTTTCGTGTCAGAGAAGAAAGGGTGGAAAGAATGGCTACTAGAAGCTCAGCTTAAGCTAATCACCTATTGCTTGCAATTTCCTGTGGAATACAGAAAATGTGATTTCATAAGTAGAATGTCTAGATTTCTTTTAAGAAATAAATGACACCTTATATCTTCCTTTTATTCTGTCACTCTAGTTCTAAAGAAATAAGGGGAAAGATAAGAAATTGGGGGGCAAACCAAAACCTGAAAGAAGTTTATAATACTCAAAAGCCGAAAAAGTTTCAAGAAGCTCTAAGAATACTCACTGTTGAAGATCAATGGTTGAAGCAAAATCCACCCGACCAAATTAAGGAATAAGAGGAATTTATAGGTTGCTAAGAAATAAATATTTTTAACAGGACTTTTTTTTGGCCAATGAATAGTGTTCTTGAGAATTAGCAGTTGGGAGCTTAGAGAAGATGGATAAGGTTTTGTTGATATTCGGGGACAATATCAAGTTACTCCAGAAATATCAAGGAGGTTAACATGTTGAACATACTCTGTAGGTGTACAATGCTCATATTTACTTAACTTTGGCAAGTATGCAAAAAGATGTATTTCAAAGTAGAGCAACACAACAAAGAGTATACCTTTTTTGGGAAGGAGGGATCTTAAGCAAAAGCATTGAATATTTATCTCAAAAAGTTGGTCATTCTATGCATTTTTCATTGTATCATTCCAATTTCTTAATGACCTGTTACTGTCACCGATTTCTAGTTTAAAACATATGATGGCAGTGGAAGTTCTAGGAACCTTAAAAATCCACCATTTAAATTAATTTTACAATGCCAAGGTTTGACTTTTCTGAATGAGTCCTTCCTATTGTTTTCTTAAAAAGCAAGACAGAGAGGGATTCGGGGGAGATGAGGGACCTCAATATTCAGGAAAGGAGAAAAGGATGTGTTTTTACACCCCCAAATGAAGAGTATACAAGCGTTTCTTTTCCTCTCATTTTCTCTGTGTGACTGGCAAATAAACACCTATCTATATTTAAAAACAATAAGGCTCTACAGGAAATACATCATATTTTTTTGCATTGTATACTAATTGTCATTTGATTCATGCCTCTCCAAACACATACTCCAGCCTTTTTACCCATTTTTCATTCAAACTGTTCCTTGCATAATTGCTTTTTGTTTTTAGTTCTCATGTTTCCACTAGATACAGAATTTTCTCTCAAGAAAATATTTCTAATCCTTTCAAAGCACAAATCATCACCAGTAAGAAAATAGGGCTTAATCTCATTGTAATTTAAGCTTTTAAATGTTCAGCCTGTCTCTTGTTTCTCACAACATTTGTAAATTAATACTATAATCTTTCTTTTTTGAGGGTATGAAAATCTGGAGGAGCAGAAAAGAGTGGGAGTGGAAGTAATAGGATATAGATGAATTAAATCTGTCGTAAAAGTGTCTATTGCAACACATAACAACCATGTAAGACTGAACAGAACAGCACAGCCATAGGGTAGTCAGTGTTATAAATCTTATCAAAGCAGATTGCTAGATCTTTCTTCTGTACAGTAACTGATTGGTTTAAAAGGCCAACCTTTTAGATATCAACTAAATATTTACTCATTATGCCAACAGACTTCTGTGTAATAATTAGACTTGTATGATCTGGCTCTTTGCCCTCTTCTCTGTCTCTTTCTTTCTGCAAGTGATTCTCAGCTGTGAGGCTTCTAGATGACTCTGTAATAACAACAGAGAGAAAAAGACAGCACTGAACCCATGACCGTTATCGACATGACGAAGTGACCAAAGGAATAGCTTTAATCACCTCAATTCCTCAGCAAACTTCTACCTTACAAATTCAGATAGACCAGAGGATGTACACTGGTACAGATGGGAACTGGAAACACAGGGAGGATGATCCCTTCAGGACCAGTGGTGAGAGTGGTGATACCGTGAGGTTGGAAGAAAGGTGGGGTAGAAAGGGGTAACCAATTACAAGGATCTACATATAACCTCCTGCCTGGGGGATGAACAACAGAAAAGTGGGTGAGGGGAGATGTCGGACAGTGTAAGATATGACAAAATAATAATTTATAAATTATCAAGGGTTCATGAGGGAGGGGGGCCAGGAGGAAGGGGGAAAATGAGGAGCTAATATCAAGGGCTCAAATAGAAAGAAAATGTTTTTAGAATGATGATGGCAACAAATATACAAATGTGCTTGACACAATGGATGGATGGATGGATCTTGATAAGAATTGTAGAAGCCCCAAATAAAATGATTTTAAAAAATGAAGATATTGGGAGCACATCACATTTTCTTTGATACAAAAGTGCCTAAAACCAATGAGAAATCAGATCACTGGGAACTCCTAAAGTTCAGATCTTCATTTCTAAATATTATTCTCCATTTAGAGCTATCAGGAAAAGTAGCTTATTGCACAGGTTGGACAACAGAAATAGTAACAAGTCTGGAACAATGTGTTGCTCTGGAATTTAAAGAAACAGTAAGATTATTCTGTAGATACATCACAAGTGTACCAGAGTCAATGTGGAATACTTGAATCTAAACACATTTGCTATTGTTTTAGTCAAAATTTTAATAAATGATATTTTGTATTATAAAGCTTTGGAAAAAAATAAAATTTAAATCATTATCAGTGATATGCAAAAGATTTGGGGCAAGAGCTGGATAGTAATTTGGATTTGCAATAGAAGAGGGAAAAATCAAGATCAATATATGTTGTGTTGTTGCTAGGTGCAAGTCAGTGCCGACTCATAGTGGCCTTGCACAGGAAGCACAAGTGACAGGCTGCTGAAGCAGGCATCCTCTTTCTCCAGCAATGCTTCTCACCATGTCTTTTCTCCTTCTTGCTTGCTCCTACTCCAGCACCCCCTCCCCTCCCCACCTTCACACTTGCCCCGTTTACAGTATGACAGTCGCATATGAGCAATAACACTACCAAAGGAACAGGTGGAGTTATATTTTTTACCTTCTTTTATTTTCTTTGTATTTTGAACTATTATAATCTTTTACTACTATTTTCTCATTAGCTCCTACTTCCTCTATCTGTGTGGACCCACCCCCGTGAGAATACATGCAACACTCAGGCAAAATCAAGCAGGCCTGCATATCCAGGCACACCTATCCAAACCAGGTCACCTTTTATCTTTTTAACATAGGTCTTGTTTCTTTTCCTATGAGTGAACAGACCCATCACCTTTATGCTGCCATAGTAACAGAACTCCAGCATCCACATCAAAACCATGCCCCCATCATTTGTTTCTCCTCTCCTTTGCACATCAGCCTCTTCATTCTTGTTTTCCTCCTCTTTTTCTTTCCTTTTCTTCCTTTTCTCTCTTGTTCCTTCTTTCTTTAATTTGATGTATTCTGTTTATATAGAAATCTTATTGTTAGGGTTTATTTGCTTACATTTTTTCCTGCCACAACTTTTGTTTCTGCTCTCTTTTTCCTTTTCCTTGGAAATATATTTCTTCAAAACTTATTGATTCTGATTACGACTAGTCTGTTGGCCTAATCAGAGTGTTCTTTATTATGATAATTACTATTAATTTTATTTTATTCTCTCTTCCTCCTCCGCACTTTCCCAAGTTACCTATTTCTCTCTGCCTTCTCCATTTTTCTGATATATGTTTGACAGCTCCTATTGGGCCTCTACATGTCACACAAGAGTGCCGCCTATGCCTACATGAACCATGGCCACACAACTAATTGTTGCAACAAATACTGATACTGAAGAAACATTAGTCAACAACCGTACACCCCAAATTGAAGGAAAACAAACAAAAACAACAAAAAAATTCACTCAAACCTAACAGGATACTCTGAAAAAAGAAAGAAAAAAAAACCCAGCTTATAACTCTGAGAAATAGAAGAATTATGTTTAAGCCCCTTCAATAGAGATAAGAAAGCCCTAAGAGAAAATAGAATATATTGAAAAACTAAAAACCTTACACCAAAAGTTATCCCAGAAGATCAGGAGAAATAGACAACATGGTAAAAACCCCTGAGGAATAGAATGTAAGAAGAGGAATATTGAGTCAATGAGCTCAAAGACAATCCCTCTGATGACAACCAGTGAGAGAACAATCAACAAAGAAAAGCAAAGGAACCCAAAGAAAGTCTGAGAGTAACGTCAGGCACATCACGAGGATCTCCCTGTGTCTTATTGGGATCCCAGAGCAAGAAAACAAACAAAAACTAAAGCAAAAGTAGTCTGAGAAATCAAGGAAGAAACTTTCCCCATAATCAAAAAGGAGGAGAAAATAATTATTCAAGACACACAGAGAACGCCAAATACGACAGACCCCCAAAAGAAGTCACACTCATATAAGAATCCTGGGGGCAGATAGGGAAAACCTCCCCAAACGGCCATGTGTTAAGCTGCATTGTTTAGAGAAACAAATCCAGTGACACTCATCTATACAAGAAAGAGCTTTCTATCAAGAAGTAATTACATATTAAAAAGGGATCCCAGTCCGGTCCAACTCAAGTCCATAAGTCTGATGATAGTCCATAAGTACCTCTTCAGATTCTTATAGACTTATGCCAGTGATGCAGAACGGTGAACCAGGAAGCAGGAGGATCACAGGCTGGTTGTTGCAAAGTTGTGTAAATCCAAAGTCAGTGGCAACACGGCAGGGAGTCAACCATTCTCATGGTCAACAGCTGAGTCCTAGCAAGCGAGGGACAGAGTTTCACAGATACCACTTATTTGACAGTTTGACTCCACCTTCAGCTACAAGTGTCTAATAGACATACAATCATCCAACCACCACAAATAATCTGCAAAAGAAAACCAGTGAGGTTAAGCTGGAACTTCTCAGTAATAACTATGAGAGGAAAGGACAGTGAAGTGACATGTAAATTTCTTTAAGAATATCCATATTCATGGATACTCATTCATTCCCACTGAGTTCGTGCTGACTCATAGTGATTCTACAAAACAGGGTGGAACTGCCTTTGCGTATTTCTGAGACTGTAACTCTTTACAGAATGAGAGAGCCTATCTGCATCCAGTGGAGTAGCTGGTGGTTTCGAACTCTGGATCTTGCAGTTAGCAGCCCATTGCGTAACCACTATGTTAACAGAGCGCCTTGTATTCATGGCTAGGATGACTTAATATTGTGAAAAATCAGTACTACCCCAGACAATCTATGAATGCAACACAATTGCAATCCAAATCCTAACTTCATTCTTTAAAGAAATGGAAAAGGTAATTATTAAATTAATATGGACAGGCAGAGATCTAGGATAAGCAAAGAACTCCTTTAAAAAAACAATGTGAGAGGCCTTACACTACCTGACCTCAAAACCTTCTATACAGTGTTAGTGCTCAAAGTAACCTGCTACTGGTACAGGAATGTGCAGGGGCAGTGCATTATCTACTGTGGCTCTTCTAGCCAAAGGCTCTCACTCCTACCAAGCAAAATTTTCCTGCATGGATCTGGTGAGAAAATGGGAGAAGATACTGATAGGATTCAGCTGTGTATAATTTCAAACAGGATCCATGGAATGCCATCCTGCTGTGTATAAAATGAGCCCTCCGAGGAACAAGGGGATGGATCTCATTACCAGTAAGACCCAGGAGAGTAGTACATCCTCTATACACGGAACCTCCTGGATCCAGAAGATGGTAAAACATCAGTGGAGCAGCAGGACAAGAAGCTCCAGCAGGGGGCAGAGTGGTGAACTTCCCTACTCAAGGAGCAAGTAAAGGCTGGGTGCTTTTTTGCAGGAGTCTGACTTGCCGAGTAGGGTCCCTCTGGGACCTTAATTGGGGAAACTGGGCTTGCTGACCTACAGAAGTGGAGTGCTTGCTTTGCGGCTGAGACTTACTGGAGTGGTGTGGCACCGGGCACTTAACTCAGGGAACTGGGTTGGCTGACCCACGGAACTTGAGCTGAATTATTTTGAGTGGAGGCTTAGAGTGGAGTGGTATGCCACTTTTAGCATTTATTAGCAGGGCAAATAGAACTTTGTAACGTGTACTGATAAACAACTATCCTGAGCATTTCTCACTGGTATTACAACCTGTTAACTTCCTTAATAAATCCTTTAATCATGAAATTTGTCTGTGGAGTCTATGCAGTCATTCCAATGGATATTAGAAACTAAGAGTTAAAACAGGCAAAAGCAAACTCACTGCTATCAAGGTGATACCATCCACAGATAGTGACCCTGTGGGACAGGATAGAGCTGTCTCTGAGTTTCTGAGACTGTAACTCAGTACAGGAGTGGAAAGCTCTGCCTTTCTCCCATAGAGTGATTGGTGGTTTCAAACTGCTGACCTTCCAGTTAGAAGCCCAATGTGTACCCACTATGCCACCAGGGTTCCTAGAGAGGTAAAATAGAGAACACTAATTTAGACAACACAGGGAGTTACATAGACTGATAGAGCAGAAGAGAAAATTCAGAACTAAAGACATATGCCTACATGGAACTGATTTTCTACCAAGGGCAAAAAACATTAAATGGGAAAGAGACAGCCTCTTCAATAAATGGTCCAGGCAGATTGGATCTCCATTTGCAGAAGAATGAAAGAGGACCCATACCTCACCTCATGCAGAAAAAATGAACTCAAGACAGATGATAGACCAAAACGAAAATCCCAGAGCGATAAGTTTCATCAATGGGCCCTACTGCAGGTCATACACACTAGCAAATACAGTAAACTCCAGGTTTTCCTGGAAACTGAAGATTTAAGAAATTTCTTAAGCTATTATTGAGATGATCATTGAACTTTAACCAACAATATCCTTTGAAGTGTTCTTAAAGATGTTTAACTACTCAAACTTGTCTGTCATAAGCAATATGCCCTTTAAACAATATATGGGATTAAACTGCAGTTGTAACTAGAAAGGGTAGATAGAAAATATAGGGTCAGTGCATCTAGGTAAATGTTGGAGGAAAATCTTAAAAAGAGACGGTAATATAGTTGCGCAAAACCAAGAACCTAATCATTGTTACTGAACTGAATATGTAAAGACTATTACACTAGTGTATATTTTGCCATGTATATTCTAAACAACAAAAACTAATACTTTTTTGGAAAAGAGATTATTCTGAGTTAAAGAAGCCTTTCACAAAATATTGTACAGTCTATGTTTTGTACAAATTCTAGCAGAAAAAAAATCAATAAAGACCGACAGCAGATAGTGTTTTCTTAGGGCCAGGATAAGAAAAATGATTATAGAGTGCTAAGTAGAGGATCTATTTTTAAAGTAAAAACCTTTCTAAAATTGATGGAAGTGACAGTTGTACAAATCTGAATATATGAAATCCATTGAATTGTACAATTTAAATAAGTAAGCAGTGGGAAGCTTTGATATTTGAATTATATTGCAATAAACTTATAAAATATACTGTGTGATATTCACAAATTCAGAATTAATATTCATAAATTCATTTCTGGCATAAGGCTGACACCAAAATTCTTCTTTTTTAATTTGGAGGACTATTATTTACATATACTTTGGAGATCATTAGACTTCAGAAAATCAACTCAGATTTTTTGAACCAAGGAAATGCCGAAATGCAAACGAGTTTTTGAATCACTGTAAGACCCATTTCAACAGTTTTGTATTATTTAAGCCAGGAATTTTGAAAAATAATAGTGACTCAGCACTTTTGTCTAAAAAGAAAACTGTAGAACTGGTACTAGCTATATCTTCAGAATGTATGAAATTTTTAAAGCAATATTGTAAGCTAAATTATAATTTGAGGAAAAAAGATGAACAAAAATCAGAATGAAAATAAAATAATTTCTCCTGCAAAACACTGAAAAGGGAAAGAAAATCACAGTTTGAAAGATTTCTTAAAAATATGTTTTAGTATATAGTGCAATAGGAAATTGGATCTAAGCCTCTGTTACTCACACTTTGAGTCGATTGGTCAGCATCCAGCAGTGTTTGATCCTTTATTAAGTGGACTTGATAGAGATGATTTGCTATATTAGTAAATGAACACTCCTCCTCATCTTCAAAAACTCTGAAAGGCCCTCTTATATAACCTCTCAAACGATTACGAAATATGTACTATTTGAAAGTGGTAACAAGTCATGAGCAAAGTACAGTCCTTGGGGAAAGAGAGAGACCGACAGGAAGGATAGTCTCTGATTGATTTCCTGTGCACCTGAAATCCCTAATGGAGAAGTCATTTAATGAAATCAAGTTACTGTGTACAGATAATATATTTATCTTAAACCCTCTAACAGCATTTATGTAACACTTTCCAACCTGTGCTTCTATGGTAAAACACAAGTGTAAGTACTGAAGAGTCTGAAGAGATTGGCTGTGTTTAAAAATTTATATCTTAATATTATCTAAAATTATTTCTTCAAATTAATGTAATACAAACCAAATTCACTGCCATTCAATCAACACTGACCCAATAGAGACCATATAAACGTAAGGGGTAAATAACACAAAAATAAAATGTGAGGGGTATTGTTGAAATAAGTTCTTTATGTTTAACCTTTTTGGGTAGTTATTGTTGGTGGTGGTGTTAGGTGCTATAAAGTTGGTTCCAACTCCTAGTGATTCTATATGCAACAGCAGGAAACACTGTCCAATAATGCACCATCCTTACAATGGTTCTATTTGATGCCATTATTTCAGCCACTGTGTGAATCCAGGTTGTAGAACATCTTCCTTTCCTCCATCCTTCACTGATCATAAAGCGCTTTTCCAGGAACTGGGTCTCTCTTGACAACATGTCCAAAGCATTTGATACAGAAAATCCTGATCCTTGATTTTCAATTGCATTCTGATTGTACGTTGTCCAGGATATAGTATTGGTTTTCTTGCAGTTCATGGCACTTAAAATATTTTTCACCAGCATCATCATTCAAAAGAGTAGTTTCTTCTCTGATCTTCCTCATTCATTGTCCAGTTTTCACACATATATGAGGCTACTGAAAATATCATGGCTTGTGTTAAGTATAATTTATTCCACCAAGTGACATCTTTGCACTTTAACACGGTTCAGAGGTCTTTGGCAGCTGATTTTCCTAATACATTGTGCAATTTAATGATGGGTGTTCCGTGAGTCCTGGTGTTGAATCTGTGTCAAATGAAGTCCTTGACTAGATGGATCTTTTCTTTGCTTATTATGATGTTGTTAATCGGTCCAATTGTGAGGATTTTGTTTTTGTTTTCTTTTTCCAGTGAATTGTAATCTGTATATATATAGTTCCTCATGTTGTGGTGACCCCCAACCATAAAATTATTTTTGTTGGTACTTCATAACAATAATTTTGCTACTGTTATGAATTGTAATGTAAATAGCTGATCTGTAAGATGTATTTTCATTGTTACAAATGGAACATAAAACAATATGTAATTATAAATTGCGAAATATTTATTTCGAATTGCAAATAAATAAAATTTTGTCTTGAAGCATGGTGTAGCATGGGTAACCGTCGTCATGCCAGGTACTCATATGTGGGTGTATCTGCATGTGGGCGGATCCACCTGGAGATGGATAGAGGAGTGGTGTCTCTATTCCTAACCTCTTTCCCTGAAAATAAGACAGTGTCTTATATTAATTTTTCCTCCCAAAGATGCACTAGGTCTTATTTTCAGGGGATAGCTTATTTTTCCACGAAGAAGAATATGGTACACATTTATTGTTTATTGTTTTATTAAAAGAGAGCTCGCACCTCCTGTCTGCTCCGGCTGTGCTGCGGCCAAGAGTGACCTGTGTGGTGGCACCCGCAGCTTCAGTCCAGAGTCCAGAGTTATGGTAGCTTCGGGGGGCCTTATTATCGGGGAGGTCTTATTGGGGGGGGATGCCTTATATTTCAGCGAGAGGCAAAACTCTGAGTAGGTCTTATTTTCGGGGGATGTCTTACTTTCGGGGAAACACGGTAACACTATTGGAAATACGTGCTTTTCGATGGTCTTAGGCGACCACTCTGAAGGGGTCATTCGACCCCCAAAGGGGTTACAACCCACAGGTTAAGAACCACTAGTCTAGGAGGGGAGGGGAAAGCAATGCACTACTAGACTGTTGGCAGGTAGTGAGTTGAGTGAAACAGAAATGGTAGTCCACAGGAGGGTGAAGAGAAATCAAGGAGCACCAGGCGAAGCGTGAACTATTGAGGAGGTTGACTAGAAGCTTAAACTGCTGCAACCATGTTGAGGTCATAAAATATTTATTGGTTTAAGAACTATGTTAAATTGAACAATTCATTAATCAGAGCATTAAATGAACTATTATACTTCCAGCAATAGAATTTATTCTAGAAATCCCACTCTACTCTAGAATATATTCTAGAAATTTACTCTACAATTTATTCTAGAAATCCCACTCCTGTCAATTGTACTTAGACTTTATATGGTGTATGGTCTTCTAAATATTTATGTGATCATACAGCAACATCTTTCTGAGATGGATAGCTGTTGGGGTTGAACTTTGTAGTAGAAGAACAATCAGACAGTGCCAAAAAGGGATATTATTATATTAAGTAGTGAATTTGATTGTACCATAATTTTTTAAATCATATAACATTTTCAGAATTTCCCCCCAAAATGAAATTGATATTCTTTCCTCTACTTTGAAAAAAAAGTAACACTCTAAGTAAATTAAAATAAAAAATATTTTTGACCATGATGGATCTTAGCGATCCATGTAAAAAAATTGTTAGAAATTCTACTGCCAAGGAAAAGAGAGTATCTGCTGTAATCTTTTATTCATTTCCCCTGTAGAATTCAGATAATGAGATAGAACTATATGTTAACATTGAAAAGTAAGTATATCATATATTATTTAAGATATGATGAATATATTCAAGATATTAAAAAATTAAAATACAATAAAAGATTAAATAAGACAAAACAATTAAGCCACTTCATATTCATTGTAAGAGAAATAAATAGAAAATTAATAGTGCAAAGGAATTTCCAACTCATAATAGCATCAAAGATTAAAAAAATACCGAGAACACAATCTGTTAAAAAAAAATAGTCTTAAAATTATTTGAAGAACAGCAAAATAAAGTAGACTGATTAGTAGAGTATTAGAATGGTGCTGGATGCAGTTAGAAAAATGGAAGCCAACAATTTTCCCAGGGTTAATCTATAGATTTAATAGATTTTAATTAGCATCTAGCAGTCAAAGGGGGGATCAAAAAGGGATTCGAGTATTTTAGCATTTATTTGATGGAAGATTTGCCTTATCAGATTGGGAAAGTGTTACCTGTTTACACTATTTAAAACATGATAGAACTGGCACAAATCCAGTAGAGAAGGCCCTCTGAGGGAATATGGGGTCAGGAGTTTGACTACTAACCACATGGTTGGTGGTTCAATCTCAAAGGCTGCTCTACTGGCTAAAGATAAGGCTCAGTTCTGGTAAGGTTTATAGCCTTGGAAATTCATGGAGACACTTCTGTTTTGTCTTATGGAGACACTATAAATCAGAATCAATTCAATGCCAGTGAGTTTGTTTATCAATATTTGGTAAAAACAAACAAACAAACAAACAAAGTCTATATCACAATGTTTACTGAAAACATGTGGGAAAGTGTAGATGTTTTTATAATGAGTCATGTTGGGTCAGTGGACTAATTTTGGACAAATATGATATAATGTTCATTCCTCACATCACATGGCAGATGTGAATGTCAGATGTCATTTTACTTAATATAAATATAAAAATAAAAAGCTCAAAACTGGAAAGATTATTTACATAATCTTTATGATAGCTGAATGCTTTCTTAGCAAGAAATCAGAGACAACAGCAAGTAAATAAAGATTAACAAATGAGTTATATAATATACAATGTTTTCAGCAACCCTGCTCCATAGGGTTTCCGTGGCTGCCGTCTTCACAGAAAGCTTCTATGGAGCTGTTGGGTCAGTTTGAACCACCAACCCCCAGGTTAGTAGCCAACCTTAAGGTTATAGTCAAGGACAAATCATTTGAGCCACCCAGAGATGATAAATGCTTCTGAGAAGACAATAAATGAAAACAAACTAAAGAAAAATGAGGGATTTAAAAACCTAGGAACATATTTAAAAGATGCTCGATTTTATAACAATAGAAAGAAATAAAAATTTTCAAGAATGACATCTTTTTATCTAGCACCTTAACAAAATTGATGCTTCAAATTCCTAGGAAGCAGTGCTTTCATGAGGAAAGAAACCTTTTTATATGCTATTTGAAGACATGTAAGTTGATGAATGATTGGGGGGAAAAAAGATAACTTAAAGCATTTGTATAGTTTAAAGCATTCATATAGTTAACCTGAAATTCCCCCTCCCCTTTTTTAATGTTTTTATTAGGGGTTCTTACATCTCTTATCACAATTCATACATTCATACATTCTGTCAAGCACATTTGCACATATGCCTCCATCATCATTTTCAAAGCATTCTCTTCCCACTTGAGCCCCTGATATCAGCTCCCCATTTCTTCCCTGTCCCTCCCCTGCCCGTCCTTCCTCACGAACCCTTGATAAATTATAGATTCGTTTTTCAATAACTTACATTATTCTCTGTCGTCCCTCACCCAATTTTCCATTATTTGTCCCCCTGGGAGGGGGTTCTAGGTTGATCTTTGTGATCGATCCCCCCGTTCCCCCCCAATCCTCTCCTAATCCTCCTGGTATCTCTACTCTCCTTGTTGGCCCTGAGGGCTTTATCTATCCCAGATTCCCCATGTTGCGGGCTCTTATCTGTAGCAGTGTGCATGCTCTGGTCTAGTCTGACTTGTAAGGTAGAATTGAGGTCATGATAATGTGGTAAAGGAAACACCAAAGAGCTAGAGGACAGTTGTGTGTTTCATCAATGGTGCCCAGCTATCAAAAGATAAAGCATCTGGGATCCTAAAGGCTTGAAGATAAACAACCGGCCATCATCTAACTCAGATGCAACAAAGCCCACATGGAAGAAGCACACCAGCCACCAGCCAGTGTGATCATGAGGTATCTATGGGATCAGGTATCAGGCATCTAAG